CTTCCTGGTCCCGTCACCACTTCCACCTCCTCCAGTCTGCAGGATTCACGACTTCATTCTCCAGCCTGCTTGTCATGGTTACGACAGATGAAACTCTTCAAAAGAATTTCGAGGCATTGTTTACCTTCAAGAATCTTTTATTCGAGAAACAAAGTATCGGCACTACATAGCTGAAGCCAAAAACTGAATTCCCTCCTCCAATTAACAGTCATAAATCACATTATTATTACCGGTAGTATTAATAGTTTATTATAGTGAATTTTTTATTAGTTTTAATTATATGATATTATTATTACTTTTAGTATTAGTATTGTTTAACAATATGGATATTCTATTGTTTAATAATTAGGATACTAATTTGTTTATGTTTTAATTATTATTATTATATTTATGTTAAAGGGGAGTTAAAGCGCATTATGGACTTGATTATTTATATAGTTGGTTAATCTATTCCGTGCGGCCGGCCTGGCGTAGTTTGATTATGTTTCAGTGGGGGGTTTTTTACGGGTGTGTTTTTAGAACAGGCGTGTTATTTAATTCGATTTTAAAACAAACTATTTATTTATTATCGTGGTTTTTAGTATCACCTGTTCACCGCCCTGAGTCCCGCAAGGGAGATAGGGCGGTATATAAATTTAATAAATAAATAAATAAATAAATAAATAAATAAATAAATAAATAAATAAATAAATAAATAAATAAATAAATGTTAGTTAGATTATGATTATTATATTTGTAACCCTGTATTCAGCTCTGGGAAGCGGGGGAGGGAGGGGGGGTTAGGGTGGGTTGGTTTTGGGGTTTATATTGTAACTTTTATAAAACTTTTCAATAAAATAAATAAATAAATAAATAACATTCCCCAATTAGCTTGAAGCGCAGGCTTTCTCCCCAGCTCTCCAGTCTGCCAAATCTTTATCAACTCTGGGCCCAGTAACCTTGAGTTCCCACGGCTGCGTTTTTTGTTGTTATGACTAGCTGGACTCTCATCCACATCCCCCCTCCCAGTTTCAACGAACTCTAAAAGCGATAGTGAAAAGATGGCTACATTTCCATCTATTGTCAAAGCAAGAACATCCGATGTTAGCAGCGTTGACAGCTCACCTGGAATCCAACGTGTCCACTCCACTCTCTGCCACAATTACCTAGGCTCTGCTCTCAGTGGGCACCAGCCCCATTTGGACCCTCTCCATGAGCAACCTGAGGGACAGGCTCAGAATCAGGACAGAGCTGGGAGGGATCTTGGAGGTCTTCTATCCAGCTCCCCACTCAAGCAGGGGATCCTATATTTCAGACAAGTGACAGTCCAGTCTCTTCTTAAAAACCTCCAGTGATGAAGCACCCACAACGTCTGAAGGCAAGCTGGTGGAACACTGGTTAATTGTCCTCATTGGCTCACACTCTTCCAAGCCATCCATCTAGATTTTAGCCCTCAGACACACAACACAACAACATGAAAGTCATAACAGTCAGTGCCTGGGAGGTGATGAAAATGCCATCAGTTTAATGGTTATAGTCACTGGAAATCAATCTGTGAACAGGATGGATGGATGGATGAATTTATGAATGAATGAATGAATTTATGAATGGATGAATGAATGGATGAATGAATGAATGAATGAATGAATGGATGAATGAATGAATGAATGAATGGATGGATGGATGGATGGATGGATGGATGGATGGATGAATATATGAATGAATGAATGAATGAATGAATGAATGAATGAATGAATGAATGAATTTATGAATGAATGGATGAAGTTCTCTTCCTGGATGTTCAGGTTGAAGGCCAACCATCTGAGCACCAGGCAGGTTGATACCCAGATATTAGGATTTACCCACTCCTGCCCTTTCAATACTCAATTGGTCCTGATCTTCCCAAGCACTCCTTCTAAGGCCATGGAATCCTACTCACCATTACTCTGAGTTCATGAAAAGCCACTTAAAATCCAAGAGACACTTCTGACTACTTAAAACATAGTGTTGGTTTCCTTTAAAAGCTAAGACCTCCAGCACTGCATCGTTCTGCAATGTTTCTGAAACTTCATTTCTCAATTAAACTTCCCTATTGATTAGTATCAAGTCAAGGAGATCCGATTCTTCTGTGCTTACATCAACCCAAATT